CACAGATGTGGGAGAGGGGAGGGGGCGGGAGGGGAACAGTCAGAAATCTTGCAAGATCATTACCCTTCTGTGTGTCTGACATTAGCTATAGTGTTGTAAGCAAGAGTGTTTTGGAGAAGGGAGAGATTTGTTGCAGCTATGTAACCTACCTTCTCAGTATGTGGGCATTTGTTTTGTGTTAGTTGCCAATCATCAACAAAAAATAAAAAAAATAAAAACGCTTAGTGGCATTTCAGGTGAAGTGACATCCCATAATGGCAAGAGTTTGCTGCCTTAAACAGTTTTTACGTGGGCAAGGTTTGAGGAATACAAATGACAAAAAAAAAAAAAAAAAAAGAGTTTTTGGAAATATAAGTGACAGATAAACAAGTTCTCGTGAACAGAATTTACAAAATGGACCAGTTTTGGAATACATAACTGATAAATGTCAGAGGTTTTTGACAGTATAATTGACAAAAAGGAAGTTTTTTTTTAAAATGAAAAGAAAACAAATTGGTACTGCTATTCACCACAAAGTGTCTAAAGTGGTGCCGACCCTCACCAGGAAGTGTCTGTTACCGTAGCACTGGAAAATCTTTGCCCAAAAGGGTGCCGATACTGCCTACCGTTGCATACCGCCAAAATAAAAAGCCCTGACAAAAAGAAGAGTTTTAAAATATTAAAAAATATGGCTGAATGATAGGCAGAGAGTTTCAAGTTCGTGAAGATATAAATGACAAAGTGAAAACCTCTGGACAATATAACTGACAAGTGGACAGGTTCTGGAAAATAAATGTCTAATAAATGGAGATATTCTGCAAATTATAATTGTCACAGGGACAAATTCGAGAGAAAAAAAAATTGCTGAAATATAGATACTTTCTGGAATGTACAATTGTCAAAAAGACAAGTTCTGGAGAAGAAAAAAAAATAACTGATGAATGGACTCATTTCGGAAAAAAATAACTGATACGTTCGTTATACATACTTAGATTTTTATCTCCTGTATTGCCAGCTATTTCCGACATAACTGTTTCTCCACTCCATGATTTCGAGTTGTCTACATCTTATACTTATCTCTATACATGGTTGATGCAGTGTAAAGGCAAAATGACAGATGAATACCACTGTCGTTAACAAACAGGAAAACAACACCTTTTCTCTTTCCTCCCTCTCCGCCAAATGAGTTATATAAAAAAGATATTAAGGTTCAACAATCTATTTTCAAATCGTATTGCCACTTTATAGACAGTTTCCTGCTGAAAGCCTTATCAGAGAAAAGAAAGAAGAGTTTAATGTACGTGAGAAGAACTTAGATCTTAATAGGAAGATTAAATGCAAGCATAAGCTGAAAGGATGTTGTTGCTAACTCTGCTTGATGCACAGTTGGCATGGGGTCCTTGGCAGCTGATTCTCAGTGTGGTGATTACTTGCCTAAATTTTTTTTCTAATAGTGCATTATTTTGTGTGTGTGTGTGTGCGTGCGTGCGTGCGTGCGTGCGTGCGTCTGTCTGTCTGTCTGTCTGTCTGTCTGTCTGTCTGTCTGTCTGTCTGTCTGTCTGTCTGTCTGTCTGTCTGTCTGTCTGTCTGTCTGTCTGTCTGTCTGTCTGTCTGTCTGTCTGTCTGTCTGTCTGTCTGTCTGTCTGTCTGTCTGTCTGTCTGTCTGTCTGTCAATAAGACATGAGACCAAGCAAGATAATACATCCAATTTTTTAAGAAAGCGCCGTTGGAACTACATCAGCCATGCATTCAGAATGTATACGACAAGACTCCTCCATCCAGCCCTCATGTGGACACCGGAAAGGAAAATAAAACGGGGAAGACCAAGAGACATTCTGTTTAGAACCATCATCAGCGAAGGCTCATCCATGGGCCTAATGAACATCCAAGACCTAAAATAGGTAGCAACGATCCGCCAGACATGGAGAGCTATGACCTCTGCCATATGCGCCGCCCTAGGCTCAAGAGGAAAGACTAATTTGTCTGCAGCAACCCGTTTTCAGTATTTTCCTGGACGTCATTAGAATGAATATACTCAAGAACTTGGCTACAACTGTCCAGATTGATAAATGGAAAAAAAAGGAACAAGGCGAAGACAGAAGTGAATACCTATGGCCTTCCTATATGGATGGGACAAAACAAGAGCTTTGACCTGATATGTGATTCTAGTTTGAATACTAAGGCTTATCGGCAGGACATATGATGATGATGATGATGATGACGATGATGATGACGATGATGTAGTTGAACCTGATGATAGTAACTCTTCATTTTTATCACAGGAAGTTCCTTACTGAGCAAGACGGTTCTTGAATACCCTTTGGCGAGTTCATGCTTAAAGAAGCGTGTACATGCATTTATTTTCTTCGCAATTACACTCACAATGGAACTGAACTGACTGCCGACGTAAGAAAAAGACACTTCATATTTAATTCGCGCTGCCTGAGAGGGAACCAAGAAGGAGAAATACACTGCATCTGAGCATCAAGGAAAATTGGCTCATCAACAGCATTCTGCCCCGAAAGCACAGCTGTTTAGCCGTTTTAAACCTGATGGCCTGGGGAAAAAGGTGATGGAGTGTACAGTTTCTAGAGGCACAGGCAGACCTCCGTAAAGATGAACACAGGACACTAAAGATGTGTTGACTATGAAAGCACGCAGGGCTATGATTGACTAAGCGGGGACAAGCTGGATAACTCCGTGACAATGGAAACATTATAGGGAAAGAGAGCCAGATAGAGAACAAGAGAGAAGATGTTGGCCAGTTTGGCATCATTGTATGGCATCAAAGATGATTAACAATACACTCGACATAAGACTGCAGACGACGACATTTTTACCAATGCTACCTGACCCCGACTTAATAAAACAGAATTGAGTGTACGATTATTATACGTTTGTGTATACAATAATGTTATTCATCAGTCTAATCTAAACCATTAGTTAATGTATCTTTGAGGCAAACAACATCATTCTGTTTGATGCAGAGAGATATGTTTCTGGATTTTCATCCATTGTGCTGTAAATGTTGCCTTTCAGGCAACTATTTTTCAGACTGTCTGTTTTAGTTGTGTTTTTTCACAATTTATGGTGGACTGTAGTTGTTGTGATAAAAACCATTATGCTTCCACCCTTTCGAGCCCATTTTCAAAGTTGTTTTGCCTTTTGTGTAAATATCTTAACAAATCACTGTAGTGCATTGGATTTCTTTGATAATTCTCCATGTTAAAAAAAAAGTGGGAGGCGGGGGTAAGGGGTAGGGGAGGGATATGAAGCGACCATAGCGCAGTGGTTGGAACGTTACCATTCAGTCCATAAGTCTTAGGTTCGAATTTCCATCAGTGAGGTTGAACAAATTGACATGTGTTCGTAGGGAGAACCGGCCAAACGATTATGACATTCAAAATACGTTGAGCGACTGCGTATAGAGAAGCCACTTTAGCACAGTTCAAACCCTCTTCGGGCCGGATGTTTTCAAAATTGACCTTCGCTTTCAGGTCAAACCAGCATAAAATAGGTACCTGGTAATGTCCGGTAAAGTAAAGGCGGCGGGCATAATTCTGACCATATTACCCACCGAGTACCAACTGGGTCGATAAAAATACAGAGGGAGAACCCATGAGGCCCTTATATATATATAATGTATTGAATGGCACTCATATAAAGAATAAGAATGATAGAAGTACACATTAAACAACATAAAAAACAGAAAGCTATAGTTACTCTGCCGTGAAATCGAACCTGTCATCTCTAAATACAGTACAATACATTGTTTTATATATATATATATATATATATATATATATATATATATATATATATATATATATATATATATATATATATATATATTTTATATATATATATATAATCAATATGTTTTTTTAATTATATGTAATAATACAGAACGAACGTAAACTGCCACCAGAGAGCTCAACAGGGGGAATTGAAATAACACAAACTCTGATTAGAAAACAATAGACATGACATCATCACCATTATCCTGTAATGTCATTATCTGTCACATAGGGCTCGCAGTCTATTCCATTACTCTGTTTTGTTGTTGTTGGACAACATTGCTTTTTAACAGCCTTTGTTAACATTGACATAGAAAATGTAATATGAGAAAATATGGACACAAAAGGGTATTTTACAGGGGAAACAACACAAAGAAGAATAGCTATTAAAACGGGAGGGGAATGGGAAAAAGGTGGGGGGGGGGGTGGGTGGGGAAGAAAAATAAATTACAGGAAAACTAAAGACATTTTTGCTGAATCATGTTCCCCGCTGGACTTGAAAGCTGAAAATATGAGTGAAGTGATTTTCCAAAGAGAGTAGCTGGTTTAATCACCGGAGCAAGTTTTTTAGGGCAGTAACTAGCTTGGTATATGCGGAATACAACGAGCTACAGAATACAGAATGAATTAGCATATTACTGTAGAATGAATTACCATTTGAAATAAACAGCATGCTTACAAGCTAGAAGATGTCAAATGTTTTAGCATCACCGTAAAGTTTCGGGTGTTTCATTATTTAGAGAAAAGAGAATCGACCCAATGCTGCTTAACAGTCTTGTCTTAAAGATGACTAATTACGAATTTTCTGAATTCCGTTGAAAGGTGAAGATATCGCAACCTAGCTGTATGCCATAAACATAACGCCTCAGCGCCTTTTGTGAAGGCGAACCAAAAGAAGACGAAGAACAAGAAGAAAAAGAAGAAGAAGAAAAAGAAGAAGAAGAAGAAGAAGAAGAAGAAGAAGAAGAAGAAGAAGAAGAAGAAGAAGAAGAAGAAGAAGAAGAAGAAGAAGAAGAAGAAAACAAAAACGAAAGGAAAAAAAAAGAAAAAGAAAGAAAGAAAGAAAGAAAGAAAGAAGAAGAAGAAGAAGAAGAAGAAGAAGAAGAAGAAGAAGAAGAAGAAGAAGAAGAAGAAGAAGAAGAAGAAGAAGAAGAAGAAGAAGAAGAAGAAGAAGAAGAAAAAGAAGAAAAAGAAGAAGAAGAGAATGTAGCATTAAGGACATACCTGGTGGCCACAGCTGAAAGCGGAACTGAAAGTACTCCTCCTCGGCATTGTACTCCACTGTCTCCAGCCGCTGACGTCCTCCACGATGACCCACGTTCTCAACCTCGGACCAGTGGACATTGGCCCGTCCCAGGCATGTCATCCGTAGAGCTGTGGAGTAGAACTGTTTGTGGTATGAACTTTTGTATAGTCAAACAGTGAGAACAATTTAAAAGTACATCCAGTGAGCCAAGGTAGCTAATTGGTAAGGGGCTTTCTTCCGGTTCAAAGTTAATGGTTTCAGTACCGTTATTAAACTATAAGACCCGCGTTAGCGCAGTCAATAGGAGGCTCGTTTTCAAATCCAGCTGCTACTCGCTGCTGCCACGGTGTGTATTCGAAACCGGGCGGCTCCCGTGGTTCACTCAGCCTCTAGGTAAATGGGGTAAATGGAGGAATATCGCTGTAGCTACAGAGTGACGTGCGGACGGCGACACAGGCGGACATTTTCTTATCAGCTGTCCGTACTGGTGGCAGGACACTTACGGTTTGTAAACGTGTGCAGTGACGCTGGTCCACATCTCCCGGCTTTACTTTTAGCTAATGTTTATATTTGACTGAATAAGGAATGAATTAAAAATTGACTTCATTGCACTCAGGGCATTCCCATACGTGATTCGTCTCCTTCCTCCGTAGCTAATGAAGAGTTGACATGCTGACAGTACCTGCTGCAACCCGATTAAAAGTCCGCCTATGTTTGCCACCTAGTATTGTCTATTAAAAATCTTTCAGAACCTCTATTATTCCCCCCGTTGAATTAGTCTGTCAGTGTAAGGATTCTCTTGTTCTGTTGCACTGAGACATATGGGTTATATGACACCTTTGTGGGGAAATCAATAATAGATTCACTGCCTACTCAAAAATTGTTGGTTAACTCCTTCGAAGTCGGATTGCATCTGCCTGAGAGGCAAGGAGCGAGCAATCTTTACACCAATGAGTCAGATCTGTGAAACGGATGTGCACAAGACGCTCAGGTTCTGGAACAGGGCTAGAGTCCAGAAGTGGACGAACATCCATAACTTTCCACCTGAGGTTACAGTCGGTGAACACTAAAGAGAAGAGCTGAGAGAGAAAGCCTTCATCACACCAGCTTCATCGTAGCTTAGAGAGAAAGCCTTCATCACACCAGCTTCATCGTACTTAGGGTTTCTAGACTGAACCAAGCCAAAATCGGTACTTAGGAATGTACCTGGAAGTAAAGGTGGCAGGCGTGAAGTTTACCATATCAGCCATTGAATATTGATTATCTATTTAAATATGGGTCTAGCGCCTAATGTGCCAGTCGTGCGAAATAAAGTTTATCTCTACTTACATTACCTACAGTAAAATGTTAAATTGTTTTGGCAAAAAACTTGTTTGCTTGCTTGTTTTGTTTCTCGGTATTGTTGGACTACAGGTATTGACTGTCGTGTGGAGTGTCTTTCCAAAACTAGAATACTAGGCTCGGTACAAGGAACAGAATGCACGGCAGATCAATGCTTATCTGGCAAAAAGAACTCCATCAAATATAAATAAATAATCCTGGCTTTGAAATCATATTCATAAATTGATCCTTAGTTTCCCAGAGATAGGCTATCTGCACCACTGGGTGGTGAATTGATACATGGAGTGGGAGATGTGGTCAAGGCCGTTTGGGAAGAAGCAACGAAATCAGTAGAGAAACAAGATTATTATGGCCTAGAGAGAATGAGGCACCGGGGTGTAACCAGCGGGTTTGGTCGGCTCACGACACACAGAGGAAAGGCAAGACGGACATATAACCAGATTCTGACCAGTAATATCAGTATCGGAACTCTGTGCTGGCTGCTAAAGATGAGGACAAAGCATGCATGGGAATGCCCCTGAGTGCTGTGATGTCAATTCTGGACTCAATCAACTCAGCCTAGTGACAGGCTTTCAGATATTCAGATAATCAGGTAAACGCAGTTTAAACTTTATAGATGCACTGGTCCTCCTAAGGTTGCTCCATCCTCCGCCAACCAAAACCACACAAATATCCTTTACTGTCGCATTTCCACAGCTCACAGTGTCTCGTCATACATTCAGTTCATTACTTGGGCGACGGAACTACATTCAAGAAGATTCGTGAAAGCAAGGATGTTCACATCTTATGACGGAAGGACATTGCTTGTTTTATTCATTTTTTTTCTCCCTGTGTGGGTTCCGGGGCCATATTATAGGGAAAACAAGAATAGACCCACTGCCTACCCAAAAGCGTGTCGTAAGAGTCGACTAATAAGAAGCTAGCTTCGAAGTCGAAGTGCATCTTCCGGAGATGCAAGAAACTAGCAATATGCCTAGAAATGAGTCAGTTATGTAAAACGGATGCACACGCAGCACTCAATTTTTGGAACAGGACTGCATTACAGAAGTGGATGAACAACCAGAACTTTAAGTTAGGATTTACAGCCGGTGAACTCGAAGAAGATGAAGAATTCATTATTTTTAGCATGCCATTCCAAAGAATTTTGAGAAAGATTGTTTCCAGAATTTCTTTTCTGCTTAATCGCCGTGCCCCTCTCTTTGTATTCACCAGCTGTCAGCTGATATGGAATCAAGAGTGTGTTTTATTTTCTCTAAACCCCCCTACAGAGCAAGCACACCATCAAACTGTGCTGATCATTAAGTGTCAGATAGACGCTTGACCACAAAATCTGTTTCCAAAGATGTCTGTATATTCTACTGATGTGTAAAAGCAGCAAAAATAAACACAGATGCTGAAAAAGTCAAAGAATTGTAGGTGCTTTCCCAACTTCTCACGCCCCCACCCCGCCCCCGCCTCAAGGAAGACGTCCCAGGAAAGTCCAATATGTTTGATGCTTTTAACTACTCCAAAACATCCTGAACTGGACCTAACCACAACCCACCTACGTCCCACGACTGCAGGCAGCCTAGGTCCCACGACTGCAGGCAGCCTAGGTCCCACGACTGCAGGCAGCCTACCTACAATCCGCTAAATAGTCGACTGTAAGTTTAAGGAGGGGGGGGGGGGGTTTGGGATGGAACCGAATTTTACAACCTGTAAATAATCTTCTGCTGCCTTTACTTCCACTAACTTCAGGCTGTGTCTAACGCAGGGGACATTGATGAATTCACGCTTTCAATCCGGTATATCGTCCATTCATGCGCGAGGCATTATGATTTGACAAACCACGTCAGTTTGATAGTGACATTGTGTTCTCATTAAGAAAATCAAAAAGCAATCTGTGAGTATTTGCTCTTTGAGAAAAATAGTATGAGCATCAAGAAACGTTTAATATTTGACAGACAGACACACATACACACAGACAGACAGACAGACACACAGAGTGACAGGACAGACAGACGGGCGGACAGACCGGACAGGACAGACAGACAGACAGACAGACAGACCAGACCAGACCAGACCAGACCAGGACAAGACAAGACAGACCAGGACAAGACAGACCAGGACAAGACAGACCAGGACAAGACAGACCAGGACAAGACAGACCAGGTCAGGACAGACCAGGACAGGACAGACCAGGACAGGACAGACCAGGACAGGACAAGGCAAGGCAGGACAGGGCAGGACAGGACAGGACAGGGCAGGGCAGGGCAGGGCAGGCAGGACAGGTCAGACAGACGGAGATAAATATATCTTTCGGTTTTAAATAACAAACACACTTTTATTTATGGCAAGTAACTTTACATACACAGATTAGCAAGCATGGGGCAAGTGCTCAACGGGCCCGCGCGTAAAGGCGGACCCTGGGAGTAATTACCTTTTCTTTTAGAAAACTTCAATAAATACAGCACACTAACCACTTATCAAAGTCGAAAATTAGAAGAGAAAAAAATATCACAGATTTCGAATACTTGGGCTCTTTAGTAAACACAGTGGAGACTGCTCGGGGCAAGTAAGAAGAAAACTGGCATTAGCAGTGAAGAGATTAAACAGCATGAAGAGCCTATGGCATAGCACCTGTAAATAAGTTAAAGTGGCAACTTACTAGACTCAGTCACTAAAGAAACAGATTAGAGCTTTTAAATTAAAATGTTACAGAAAAATTATCAGAATAACATTGATCAAGAAGAGAAAATACATCGATAGTCTTCACACGAATTTAAATATCAAGGAGAACTGGCTTATAAACAGCACCCTGGCCCAAAAGTATTTTGGCAAAATCAAACGTCATGGTGGCTTTTTAAAAGACGATGGTTGATAGAGAGTGCAGTCTGTGGAAGGCGAGGCAGGGGTCGACCTTTTTTGAAGATGGGTTCAGGACATTGAAATGCATTAGCATTGAAAGCACATGGGGCTGGAGAGCTGTCTAGGGAGAGGGATACTTGTAGGCGTGTCGTGAAGAGAGTGACATTCTGGAAAAGACTTGCCGTTCGATGATGTCGAACGAACGAACGAACGAGCGAACGAACTTCATTTTCAAAGGGTCACAAATTAGACACGCAGGCCCGTCTTACATTCGGCCCTTCCAGTCAACCATCTTTCGCACAGCAGTTGTATTTTACTAATAAAGCATGTTATGATCATTTGATGATATGCATATTATGAATATTAAAAAAAAAAAAAAAAAAACACACACACAAATGTCGAGAACTTAAGCTGTAATATCCAACAAATAATTATTAAGTCACAAAGAGTTATGTGGTCTGGTTGAAGTCCTGCTCTCCACTGTGAGATTAGCAGATAATTAGGAGAAAAGGAAGAAAAAGAAGACGAAGAAGATAATGATTGCTATGATGATGATAATAAAATGATAGAGAAAGAAAGCATGGGACAAGGAGGAAAGAACGCAGGAAGGAGGAAGAAAATACGAGGAATTAAAAAAATAATAATAATCCTACATAAATGTAACATTTTGAGTTAAGATCGCCTTCAAATATAAGTCGTAGTTGTAAAAGATTGATATCATCATGACAAGTTTAACCCTAATGCCAAACCATGCATCCTATACTGACAGTAGTCGATTTCTATTTCCAACGTTTTGGTTTTTTTTTTTTTTCCTTTCGTACCTTAACCTACTTATGATTCCTTTAATCTCCGAGAAGCTTGAAACTGATAATAATCTAAGTAGATATAAGCAGAACTTCGGATGCCATAGCGAGGTTTCGGCGCCTGTATTACAGTAGGT